AAATCACCTCCAAAAGATACTCGAGGAAAAAGTTACAGCCAAATATCAACAAATGTAACGTTAAAGAGGTACTTGTGAAAAGTTGAACTTCAAACGGAAATAAAACATGCATCCGATGTCCGATCGAGGCGATATTATTTTTCCAACCTTATTATTTTTTCTATATCTATGCGAAAAAACACCGCACACAGCCATAGGACTTATAGTTTTACGTTTATTGGTTTTTGACCATATATAGGGTAACATTATAAGAAAAAAATGAAAGTCAAATCGGACAAAGAAATTGAGTCCACCACGTATATTTAAAAAAAATAAGAAAGTTTAAAAATAGAATCGCCTTCAAAAGATACTCGAGGGAAAAGTTACGGCCATTTTAAGTTTCAACAACTGTAACGTTAAAGGAATACTTGTGAAAAATTGAACTTCAAATGGACATAAAACACGCATCTGATGTCCGATCGAGTTGAATTATTTGTCCAAACTTATAATTTTTTCGATATCTATGCGAAAAAACATCACACACCGCCGTAAGACTTATAGTTATACGTTTATCGGTTTTTGACCATATATAGGGCAAAATTATATGAAAAAAATGAAAGTCAAATCGTAAAAAGGGATTGAGATAACCGCATAGATCTCAAAAAAATAAGACAGTTTCAAAATAGAATCGCCTCCAAAAGATAGTTGAGAAAAAAGTTACGGTCATTTGAAGTTTCAACAAATTTAACGTTAAATGGTACTTGTGAAAATTTGAACTTCAATCGCTTCCGATGTTCGATCGAGGGGATTTTTTTTCAACCTGATTATTTTTCAATATCTACGCGAAAAACACCACACACGGCCATAGGACTTATAGTTTTACGTTTATCAGTTTTTGATCATACTAAGGGCAAAATTATAAGGAAAAAATAAAAGTAATATAGGAAAAAGGGATTGAGTCTACCGCGTAGATCTCAAAAAAATAAGCAAGTTTAAAAAAAATTGCCTCCAAAAGATACTCGAGGAAAAAGTTCAAACGAACATAAAACGTGCATCCGATGTTCGATCGAGTCAAATTGTTTTTCAATCCTGATTATTTTTTTGACGAAAAAACACCATACACGACCATAGGAGTTATAGTTTTACCTTTATCAATTTTTTACCATATAGGGCAAAATTATAAGGAAAAATGAAAGTCATATTGGACAAAGGGATTGAGAGTCTACCACGTAGATCTCGAAACAATAAGCAAGTTTTAAAAAAATCGTCTCCAAAAGGTACTCGAGAAAAAGTTACGGCGATTTTAAGTTTCAACAAATGTAACGTTAAAGGGATACTTGTAAAAATTTGAACTTCAAATACACATAAAACGCACATCCGATGTATAATCTATTATTTTTTAAATATCTACGCAAAAAAATACCACACACGGCCATATGACTTATAGTTTTATTTTTATTGTTTTTGATCATATATAGGGAAACATTACAAGGAAAAAATGAAAGTCAAATCGGAAAAAGGGATTGAGTCTATCGCGTAGATCTCGAAAAAATAAGCAAGTTTTTTTAAAAAAATGTAGCCTCCAAATGATATTCAAGACAAAAGTAGTTTCACCAAAATTTAACGTAAAAAGGGTAGTTCTGAATTTTTGAACTTCAAACTAACATAAATCGTCCCTCTGATGTTCGATTGATGCAATTTTTTTCAATCTACTTATTTTTTTGATATCTATGCGAAGAAACAACACACACTAAGATAGAATTATATTTTTATATTTATCAATTTTTGACTATATATACACGTAGATATATTTAAAAAAATAAGCAATTTTAAAAAAACAATCGCCTCTAGAAGATATTTGAGGCAAAAGTTACGGTCATTTGATGATTCACCAAATGTAACGTAAAAGGGGTAGTTGTGAATTTTGTGAACTTCACAAACAGACATAAACCGTGCTTTCGATGTTCGATCTAGGCGATTTGTTTGTTCAATCAGCGCGAAAAAGCACCACACACTGAGATAGGATTTATTGTTTTACATTTATCAATTTTTAACAATATATAGGGTAATTATAAGGTAAACTGAAAGTCAAATCGAATAAGGTAATTGAAATTACCACGTAGATCTCAAACAAATAAGCAACTTTAAAAAAAGAATAGCTTCTAAAATATATTCAAGGCAAAAGTTAAGTCATTTAAAGTTTCACAAAATATACCGTAAAAGGGGGAATTTTTGAACTTCAAATTCCATAAATCGTGCCTCATCGATCGTAACGATTTTTTTTAAATCTACTTATTTTTTCGATATCTACGCGAAAAAAACATCAAATTATAAGAAAAAAATGAAAGTCAGACGGATAAGGTAATTGAGTTTAGAAAAAGAAAAAGAATCGTCTCTAAAATATATTCGAGGCAAAAGTTATGGTAGTTTGAAGTTTCACCGAATGTAACGTAAAAGGGGTAGTTGTGAATTTTTGAACTTCAAACGGCCATAAATCGTGCCTCTGACGTCCGATCAATGTAATTCTTTTTCAATCTGCTTATCTACGCGAAAAAATATCAAACACTGAGATATCATTGATAGTGTTACATATATTGATTTTGGACTATATATAGGGTAAAATAATAAGGAAAAAATAAAAGTCAAATTGAATAAGAAAATTGAGTTTACCACGTATATCTAGAAATCTCATTTAAAAGATATTCGAGGTAAAAGTTACGGTCATTTGAAATTTCCTCTAATGTCTGATTGAAGCGGGTTTTTTTCAATCCACTTATTTTTTTGATATCTACGCGAAAAAACACATGTGATAAGGAAATTGAGTTTACAATGTATATTACGAAAAAATAAGCAAATTTTAAGAATATATACACATAAATCGTGCCTCCAATGTTCGATTGAGCAAATCGGATAAGGTTACCACGTATATCTCAACAATTGAGATAAGATTTTTAGTTTTACATTTATCGAATTTTGACCATATATAATAAGGAAAACTTAAAGTCAAGTCGAATAAGGTAATTGAAATTACCACGCAGAACTAAAAAAAATAAGCTAACTTTTAAAACAGACCCGAGGCCCCCTACCCTACCCCCCCGGACCTCGAGGCCCCCTACCCTACCCCCCCGGACCTCGAGGCGCCGCGCCCCGAGGCCTCCTACCCTACCCCCCCGGACCTCGAGGCGCTGCGCTCCGAGGTCCCCCCCCCCCCACTTTCAAAATTATTGGTAATTGTGCATATTTTTAAATGAATATATTATTTCTATTAAACATTAAACTTTAATTTTCATATTGATTTTTTATTACATAGGGTTAGGTACATTAATTCGTTGGACGTATGTTTCAATTTAGGTGTTAAATAATTTTCCTGGAACTCAAAGTAAATTATACATATATATATTTTAATTAAAATTCTTGTAAAAATTTCTATTATATAATATTATTTGGTTAAAACTGACCTACAACTTATAAAGTTTTTATAAATATTTTGGTTGACTTTGTTAATTTAAATAATTTTTTTAATTCAAAATTCTTTTTTTCTTTTTAAAATATTTATTCTTTAATCATTAATTTATTATTAATAAATTTTAATTAATGTTTTTAATTATATATATTGTAAAAATGTGATAAAAATTTATATATTTAATTATTTATTCTTTAATCTTATATTATTTAAATATAAAGATGTTATTATTATTATTATATAGATTTAAATATTCCATATTATATTTTTTTATGAATATATTATTATAATGTATAGTGTAAATTTAATATAATTAAATTATTTTTTATTTAAAAAAATATAAAATTTTC